TATTGAATTAAGTAAAAACCTTAAAAGATAATCTTTATCCTAAGTCAGTGAAAACTGTTATAAATCACCTACATAACTCCTATATGTGTTAGAACTTATAATGAATTCATAATGAACTTACTATAAACTTGTGCTTCTAGAAAACCTTATGTCTAAACACTAAACTATATAATTCTAAATCAAATAAGGAGTGAATATACTTATATCATTTATTACTTAAGCAATATCTAGTAACTTATAACCAAGTGAAAGAAAGCATTCTTGATGTGCTTCAGAGTTTAACCCTTGCATATGTTAGAAAAGGCCAAGCAGCATAGTGGGAAAATGGAAAAATGAACCCTGACATTCTCAGGTTAGCTGTGAGTACTTCGCATAAACATGCCATTTTCTTTTTCCACGACTGCACAGAATTCTTCGGTGGTACCAAACAGCAAAGACGGAAGACAGAAGGGCCTCAGCTGCCCGGACTCGCTTTGTGGCCGGGGGTCCTCAGTGCACCTGGACTTTGTCAATCAGGCGGGCCTCCAAGGCTGGCTCCCAACATTATTTCATCTTTTTTCTTTGCCTTCCTGTTCACTCTAAAGCCTCCAGCAATTTGCTAACTACTTCCCAAAGACCATACCTAGTGCCTTTTTTGAATCCCCTAGTTCTTGCTCACTTTACTTCCTTGCAGCATTTAACTTTGAATGCTCTTCTTGTGAGACTTCTGGGTCACTGCTTTTTCCTTTTCTCCGGCTGCTTCCTTGGCTCCTGTTTTGGGTTCATTATCTGGAAGGTGCCCAGCTTCCTCTTTCCCACATTCCTGCCTTCTCTTGGCACAGGTGCTTCCTGAGGCCAATGCATGGGCACCTGCCCATTAGCACCACCTGGGTTTTATCCCACACCATAGCCTGAATGTGTCCACAGCTGACTCAACATCCTCTGCTTCCCCAGCCCCGTCCCAGGTCAAACCCTCCTTTGCTGAGCCCATGGCATCACCACCCACTCCTGTCCCTAAGCTCAGATGCTTACATTTGACACTCTCTCCCCATCAAAATTTTGTGGCATCTCCTAATGAAATCTTCTATAGGATCTAGCCTAGATTTCCCCTAACTCTGTGGGAGGGAAATGTCACAACTACCTCTGTCCCTGGCTTCTCCTAAGCTCTTCTCCTTTCCCCAATAACCACAAGTGACTCACTATGGTTATTGGTCCGCACCACCATCTAACCATGTCACCCTGCTGTACATTGTGATGGCTCCCTGTTAGTGTGACACTCAGAGTTGTATGCTTTCAGCTTTGGCATCTGCCCCTATCTTTCACTTATTCTGTACTGAAGCCTCTTTACTCTTAGAAGTTTCTAGAATGTGCCATGACACGGTGTCACTGTGCCTCTCCCTGACTGATATTCTTCTGCAGGAAGGACTCTTCACTCAGTTCTCCCCCAAGAAAGTCCCTAAATGTGCTGCCAGGTCTGGCTCCAGCTCCTCACACAAAGTCTTCTCCCCTGCCCATCCCAGGCCACAATTGGGCAGTCCCTCCTCTGAGCTTACTTGGTGCTATACTCATCTTTTGAAGAATTGCTTCTTGGGGCAAACTAAGTCTTTGCTCTTAAGGCCCTCAACTGATTGGATAAGGTCTACCCTTATTATAGAGAGTAATCTACTTTACTCCAAGTCTACTGATTGGAATGTTAACCACATCTGTAACACACAGCACTAGACTGGTGTTTGATCAAGCACTTGGGCATCACAACTAGCCACACTGACACATAAAATTAACCATCCTGTGTCCCCTTTGGAAAATGACCAAGACCCCAGGGCCTGTTTCTATTTTTTTTTTTTTTTAACTTTGCTGCCACATGAAGGTTAACAGCCCCATTCTCAAACTCCTCTTGTTCTTTGGTCTCTGAGAACTTGCAAAAACCTGGATATTCTCCTGTGTCTGTCTCCTGGAACTGTGAATTCATTATTCTACTGTTTCTGGTAAGACACAAAGACGAGAAGGCTTGGGACCTGTACCCCAGCCATCTCCACACCAAAGCTGAGTCTCAGCTGAGTTTCACATCCTGCAATTTCAGACTCAAGGCTGCAATATCAATCTACTTTTACCCATTTCCAGCCTGCTGGCCTGCCTCATAGATTTCGCACTTGCCAGTTCCCACAATCGTGTGATCCAATGGCTGAAAATAAATCTTTCCTAAATGAGGTGGTCACCCCCCTCACAAATCCTGGAATTTAGAAGAAATTGTGTATCTACATGTTTAAATTTTAGTCACCTCCAAAGTACTCTCCATTTGCTGTAATTGCCTATTGAGACACTTTTCCACTGCTCAAAACAGTTTTTGAACTCATGGATTTTGATACCTTTTAGTGCTTCTGCTATTTTTTGTTTCATGTCTTCCACATTGGCAGATATTTTCCTCTGAGGGTTTTTTTCATGTGGAGAAACAAAAAGTTGCTCGGGATAAGACCAGGTGATTAGGGAGGCTGGGTCACAAGGAGTCATGTTGTTTTGATCAAAAACTGCTGAACACTCAGATACACTCATAAATCACCCATCATGAAACAGGCACATACAATTGAAAGACTCTCCAAAAAAAAAAAAAAATTAACTGAAGCAGAATGTAGTCTTGCCACAAACAACACTAGCTGGTACACTAATGCTGGTGCTAAATGTTAAATGCTAAAACACTTACCTAGTGGGGGAAGCCTGTACTTCAAGGGGCATGCCCTCCAAAGGATAATTCTGTGTTTTTTGGGTCGCCCCTCATATATATGAATCTTCTATTGGTTCTGTCTCTGGAGAACTCTGACTAATATAGGGTATCTCTAAGAGTAGCTGAGACCTTTCCAGGGAGTCTCAGCATCATATTCAGTTCCTCATGTAAATGAAGTGGAATAGTTAATATAAACGTGTAATAGTTAATATAAACAGCACGTTCTTACAGAATGATAATGGCCTGCTTCTCACCCCGCCCCCTGTAAGTAGTGTCCCTAAGGGCAGATACCTTTTGTTTTCTTGACCTTTTTATTCCTCACTCTGCTGCCATGCCTGGTACACAGGAGTCATTTCAAGAAAGACTTGCTAGCTATTAACCTAGACATTCCTTGAAGTCTATTTGAATTCATCCATCAAAACTAAGCTCAGGTATTACCTCCTGTGGGAACATTTCCCTGGCAGGCTGTTTCAACACCGATTTTATGTCTATCTATGTTACCAGACTATGACCTCTGAAGGCAGACATTTCATCTGGATCATTCTGTATCCCTGGCACAATACATAGCACCGGACAAGGTAGATGTGATGGCCTTTTCAACCGAATATTACTATTTCCAGAGTTTATTAAAGTCGAAGTCTAGCTTTAAAATAATAAAGGCTAGTTCTGCATGGACTGTCTCAGATGGAGTGCTTCAATCTTTCAGAGAAATCTGCAATATCTATCATTTTTTTCTAGGGGCACAGATAGTAAGACTATGTTCATTTCCCTCTAAGTATATGATATTGGCACAGGCAAAACTGTGTAGAATTTCTCCTTTTGTTGTTCCATGCTCAGGAGTCACAAACTCAAATGCCTCCAGGGGCCAGTAGGTTAACAGGCTGAATGAAAAAGATGTGTGATGGTGACTGTGGCAAGTACAAGAGCATGAGCCCATCCCAAGGCATCCAGATAATTACAGACTGTGGTGCCCGCAAACATCAAGGGACATTTGAAGAGCTCTGCCTCATCCAATCTGCTGAATGTGATTTGGCAACACACACTTTCATAACGGGCTCCCAGTGGGTTGCTCATAAGATCTATAATGGCTGCATTTACCAGTTGCTCAATGAGGGTATGAATTACAGATTTACTTGTCCTGTCAGTGTTATTCCAGTGTTGCCTCAGCACAATTTAAGATGGAAAAATGACCTACAAATCAATAACTTTTACTTTTTTTTTTTTTTAACAATACTGAAAGTCATGTTTTATTGAAGGTCAAGGAATGTTTAGGTGATTGTAGTTAGTGTCCTAAAAGTGATTATTTCCTTGCATGCTGTGGAGAGAAACTCTTCCATAAATACATGGATGCAATTTGTCATGGAAGAAAACCTGCTATAATAAAAACATGCTGAATTTTACCTTACATAAAGGAATTAAAGATTTATTTCGGTGAATGTTTATCATGTAAGAGCAGTTCTTTTAATTTGCAACAAGTTATTAGGCCTTGCCATAGAAGCATAAGATTTAACTTCTAGACACACAGTTTGAATGAATCGGTTCCACCCACTGTTTAAAATAATAAAGGAAAATAAAGTTTAAAGGAGGACCTTTAAAACATTCAACTTCCACCCAGACCTCTAACCCCAGTTCAGAGAGTTAAGATGATTTCCCTCCCATTCCCTCTTTCCCTCCTACCCTTCCTTAAAATCTATCCTGTCCCACCTGTCACTATCCAGGAATACAAGCCATTTCGTAATCAGACTTGGAGCATATCTTTTGTAGTTTTCTTTAGGACCTGTGTATTATTAACATTACATTCAGAACTCTACACTGACAAAAACTCCCCACCTCAACCTCTCTCCCCAGCACCCACATGGTCAAGTCTCAACTCACCCCACTTCTGAGCTGAAATGACCACCTCTCACCTGTCCAGGCACTCTATAAAGACAGTCCTGGGTTTCAAGATGTTGCATAATGTTGTTTCTGCTTAATATTTTCTCCTTAATCTAGCACTCCTGCCCAGGATGTTCTTTATAACAACTTGATTATTATAACATTTATATCTTCTGCTTATCGAGTTGGTCTTAAATTTTTCTTGTGACTGACCATTTTCTAAAATAGTTTAAGTTGGTATATACTATATAAAGGGAATAATGTTACATTAAAAACCCATTGCTTGTTGAAAGAATTAAATGTCTAAAATTCATTACTAAAATACTGATTTATTGTTTAAAAATTCCTTGAATGATAAGTCATCTGGAATATCATGCAGGCACACATTTCAACTTCTTTGAACCAAATAAGAAAAATCACAACATGCTTTACTTTAGTGTAAAAATCAATTTATTATACAACAATCATACAGAATGCTTTTTATCTACAAAGACAAATGGCTTCTCCAGCCTCCCTGTCCACCCCAATCATGATACTATGTTCTTAAGATACAAGTACTTTCAAAGGAACACAAATGTGATATTTTCCAAATAAGCCCCCAAAACATTCATAAAATGATGTGGAAATATTGGAAAGAACTAAAATGAACACTTACATACAAAATACTTTTCTTCCCATCACAGTAAATAGCCTTTTGCCTTATTTTAAGTACTTTTCTGAAGGGGCAGTATGGGAGAGAACTTTGTTCTGCAATATGCCTAAATAGTTCAATATGCAATTTTGATGGATTGAAAATTTCTAGATTTAATTCCACTGAGTAAACAGTTGACTTTGTTTAAAAACCGAGGGAATTGCTAACAGATAAGCTTTACAGTAGTCAGTGAAGTATTTTCATCCCCATGAGTAAGAGGAAATTTGAAGAAATACTTTTCATTTTCTTCTTTAATATATTATAGAAATATTAAATATTGTATAGTTATGTTTTAGAAAAATCACATTAAAAGTAAACATTTTAAGTCACAACTTTTAATGGCAGACTAAAATATTTACCTGATTCAATTTTTATGGCTAAGATATCATAGTTCTGTGTATTTTTTTTTTATCAGCCCTTGAATGGTTTAAGGCTATAAGTATTAAGTTTCACTAGAATTAAAGACCAAATTGGAAATAAACATTCTGAATGAAACCTCCAACTAAATCTCTGGCATTGGCTTGAAAGTGTAAACCACTTGAGAGGTTTCCAGCTACCTTGCACTTATAGCTGTTTGACTTAGTCTGTTGAAGGAGACTCCCTTCCTGGCTGTTCAGTTATGGAGTCCATGAAATATTCAAGCGGCAGGTCTAATGTGCAGACTTGGGGACCTCACTGGCAATTAAGAATAAGCTCAGTATAATAACCAGTGATGTCTGTCTTCTAAGTTTCATTTTTACCTGGAATGGTCTTTGGTAACAGATTTTAGCCCATGTTTGAGACTCAAAACTGAACTAGAGTCTAGTTTCTACAAGGGGCTTTCTCCTTAGTCCAGTTTTGTCATAGGGGAGCAGTAACAGTCATACTCAAAGCGAGCCCTTATTTTCACATATCTTGCTAGAAGAGAACATAAAATACAGTTATAAGGTGATAGCAGTGGTGATGAAGCATCCTAGTGCAAATCAGTTTTAGGAAATGGTTTACAAAGATAAACAGAAGATTGAATACAGGAAGATGCCTGCTCAACAGAAATAGATCAACCAGTATTATAGGAATGATATAGGAACAATGCATTCACCCTCAAGACTATACTAAGCATTAGTCACCTTTTGGAAAATATGCCAGAATCCTGAAAAGGGTAATTTACATGACTTAAAAGTTGGAAAAGTCAGTAAGATGTTTTTTAACAGGGAAAAGAATTTTAAAACTAGAGCTTGGGGTGAAAAACAACAGGGCAGAAAAGCATGCTAGGCAGTAATGCGTTGGTGCAGCAGTGAAATGCCTTTCTAGTGCTCATGCATTTGATGTCAGTGTTGGGACCTAAACACTTAAAATAAGGTAGAAGATGAAGTGTAAATGTTGGCAAGCCTTGTTTTGTGGTGTATAAATTATTCTTCAAATCTTCAGGAAAGATTCTTGTTTCCATTCTTGGTACAGTTTAATAGTAAAAACAGTCCGGCACTTAGGGAGAAAGGAAGTCTCACCAGTGCTTCTGTCTGCGTTTGTGCTGCAGATCTGAGCAGGGATAGGATGTGCTGAGTTTGCCAAACTGGCATTTTTCACTGTGGCTCATGACCAGCGCACAGTTCAGTGTTGAGCTCCTTCCAAACTGCTCCATCTTTTTCTTCCCATTTTCAAAGACTTAAGTAACACGTAAAGAGTGCTAGCAGGTATTTGGGATAATAGTCACAAGTAGTTTAAAAAAGTTGTTGACTAATTTAGTGACTGTTTTGCCCTCATTCTGATAATTCTGATTTATAAATATTCCAGTGGCATATATGTTCAAAGGAAGGGATCAGATTGGACTCCAGTTCTTGTTCAGAAAGGGAATGGGCAGCCAGATTTAGATACTGCTTGCGAATATATGACTGATTAGGGAAACTGAGGAACAACACCTATCCAAAGCCCCTGAATTATGAAAATCTGGCAGAATATTCTTCTTCTTAGAATAACTAATCTTCAAAACAAAAAAAATATGAATTTCATTACCATATCACTAAGTTTAACATCAGAAGTAATAGTGGAATTTGACAGACAAGACTCTGGCTTAGAAGTTTTGCTAGATTTTTCTATCTTTCATGTATGGTCCCATTTGATTATTTTCTGGAGTGGATTCCTGAAGGGACAAATGGACTGATTATTTTATGCACTGGCAATTATTGCTTAATATAGATCAAAATATACCCTGTATTTAGAATATAATTAACATTCTGTTTTAAACATTTTAATCTGAACAAAACTCTCTTTATTTGAAGATTTCCTGTGAAAAACAATGCTCCATATTTCCTGGCTTTATTTGTGTATAAGGCGTTATAAAGACAGTTTCTGGTGAGAGGTTCAGTCCGTGGGAGGGAGGGAGAAGTTGCACCAGTTCTGAGGTCTTCAGAGATCAGCATTGCCTCAGTGCTGATCAAAGCAGTCAGTTAACAGATGAACCTAATAGCAATATATTAATACATTCTGGGTACAGATGATTTATAAACTCAAAAGAAATTAGTTTATCCTAAAACATATATAACTTTTAATTCAGTCTTTGCTTTAAAACAAGGGAATCTGTTAGGCTAGTATATATGCTTTTTCTGTTACTCTATTTTTATTGTGCTTTCTTGTCCATCACTCCGTTAGCTGCAGTGAAGTAAGCTTTGGAAAAACCATTCCTGACATCTTTCGCTGCAGGTGGTTCTTGCATATCTTTCTTCACTGGCTTTTTTCGGTATGTCTGTTCAATGTGTATATTTTGAAAAAGGATAAAAAAAGAAAAAGGGTTATTTAATACGACCTTGCCTCTGACATTGCATATAATTAACACAGTACATTATTTTGCTGGGCAAGAGCTTTCTAAAAGAATTCATGCTTGTAATGTGACCATTTTTGAACCTTTGGTTACATATAAAAATAGGGTAAAAACCAAGACAAATGCATGAATTCCAATGAATGGTCAGGATTTGTGTATTCTGGGATTAGCATTCAAATTATTCTGCATTAGTCGCTCACTTGGAAAGGATATAACTTTTTAAAAAATATAATTCAAATGAAAAGTGTTGTTATTTTAAAACACTAATACAAGGGATTCTGGCCTGATCTGGTTTTTGGTATATCCTTCCTATTCTAGTTTTTGGTATATCCTTCCTGTCTGTCCTCTCATTTTTTTTTAAAGCAACAGTACTATTAACAAGGGTTAAGACTGAATTTTTTTTTTTGAGTTAGAGTCTCACTCTGTTGCCCAGACTGGAGTGCAGTGGCCACTCCTGGCCACCACAGCCTCGACCTGC